GTTTAACATGGGAAAAGTGCACCGTTCATATGTCATACAATCAATCACAAGTTAATCAATATTGGGGAGAGTACATACATACACAATTGGCATATTAAAGTTTAAACTAACATTCCTGTTTCCAAGGTACCCAGGTCACCATGACGTAAGTTACCACAACTCAGGTCACCATAACCTCTTAAATTCTATGCTCATTCTTCTATACAATTATGTCCCCTAGAAACCTATGTTCCCTAGCAACTTATTCAGATTGGCTTCCGCATATTCTGGGTTCAATCAAAGGTTATGCCTCTTTTGCACCTGCTGTTTCTCTGAACAACACAAGGGAGAAAATGGCTGATGGTGTCCTAAGAGTGGGGGCTCAACCTACAAGGACACTTAACAGCATCAACCCATATGGGGACACTTAAAAGTATCAACCTGTTTATGGGAGCCATTGCCCAATTAGTCACTCACCATGTCCCATCAGTCCTTAAGACTTAAGGCTCTCCACACTTTCAGTTAGCAGCCCAGCTCTTAACCACTGAGCCGCCAAGGTTCCTTCTGTATTCCCTTCGACTTTCCTGAGTCCTCTGTGTTCCCTCTGGCAGGTGTGCTTGGGGAGCCAAGCCCCTTGCCTGTGGGCTGCTCCAACTGGGAGCCTCAGCTAAGGCCCAAACCTTAGATAACCCTGGAAAAGATCCCTTCGTAATGACACCTCCAAGGTGCCTGGTCCCTGTCATCCACAGCCACCCACCTTCAGGTGTCCTGCTGTCTTCTTCCTGTCGCCTGTAAGGGCTGCCTGTCCTCCTGCCCTGCCTTCCCTTCAGTTCAAGCAGCTTGTGCTGAGCCCTGCTCTGGACTCCCGCCTCCTGGAACTCCGTGCTCTGGGGTGTGGGGAATGGGAGAAGACAAAAACAAACCTGTTGCTGTCAAGTGGATTTGGACTCACAGCGCCCCTTGAGGACATAGTGGAACTGCCCCAGAGGGTTTCCAAGGCTGTCAGTCTTGATAGAGGCAAAGCCCAAACCAAACCCACTGCTGAGTGGATTCCCACTCACAGCGCCCCTAAAGGACATAGTGGAACTGCCCCATAGGATTTTTGAGGCTGTCAATCTTTATGGAAGCAGACCGCGGCAGCTTTTTCCTATGGAGCAGCTAGTAGGTTTGAACCACCTTCCTTTCAGTTAGCAGCCAAATGCTTAACCACTGCATCATTGCACCACCAAGGCTCTGGGGAGTGCCCTGCACGATGTGATCCATGCTTACAGACAGGTGCTCTGGGGTCGGAGCGGGAACTTCCAGCCAGGGACCTCACAGGCTTTCTGAGGACATGGATCGTGCAGATGGGAAATGTTGGACAGAGATGGAGAGGGAGGGTGGTGGAGGGAAACCGGTTGCCATGGAGTCAGTTCTGACTCACGGTGACCCTACATGTGTCAGAGTAGCATCGGACTCAGTAGGGTTTTTGATGGCTGATTTTCCTAAAGCACATTGCCAGGCCTTCCTCCCAAGGCACCTGTGAGTGCATTGGAACCGCCAACCTTTTGGTTAGTGGTATCACTGAGCCATCTCCACACCCCCTCCCCCAGGGCCTCCTGATGGAGGGAAAGGGCCTCTGCAAAGGCCCAGAAGCAGACAGTTAGGGGCACCCACGAGCCCTCGTACTTGAGAGTGGCTGGAGCTGGGGCACTGGTAGCAGCGTGGGCCCCGCAGGCCCGGGACGGTGGGTCGGGGGCCATGCCCTAGAGGGTTCAGACTTCTAGGCTAGGAACTCAGGCTCAAGTCAGAAGGCAGTAGGAGCCATGGAAACATTCTAGCAGGGAACTGCTGTCCTCCATTCTTCCCAGACAACCTCTCACCCCACCAGCAGCCTCTCCCTATTGCTTGGGACCTCCCGTGGTACAGAATGCACAAGTAGTGTCTCTGCAGCCAGAGGAACCCCGTGGGCCACTCCTCCCTAGGCTTGACCCTCAGGCTCTTCATGGCTGTCCTGGGGAGCAGGGACCTGTCTTTCACTCTCTGTTTGGCTCCTTGATGTGAGGTGAGGTGTTTCTTTCCTCGCTTACACTCCTAAGGATTCTTTCAATACTTACACTCAAGGGGTGATTTATAATTTATTGATTGTAATTTATTTTATAAATAATATATTTTATAATTTATTGATTGTGTGCGTGTCTGCGCCTTCTGACTCATGTAAACCAGGGCTTCGAACCGGTTCTTTTCTGTTGGACCTGCTGCTACGAACTTGCCTTTCCACCCCAGAGATACTGAATCAGAGTCTGCAGTTTCACAAGACCCCCAGGTGATGCCTGCGTATACACAGACTGCACGAGAATCACTGGGGCTCTTATGAAGGTGCAGATTGACTCAGTACCTCTGGAGTGGAAAGGCAAGTTCGCAGCGGGAGGGCCAAGCGACCAGTTGGAAGCCCTGGTTTAAACCAGTGTTCTCCACAGCAGGTAATTTTGTTCCCTCTCCTAGGGGACATTTGACAATGTCTGGAGACATTTTTGGCTGTCCCTCCTGGAGAGTAGAGGCCAGAGGTGCTGCTCTGCACTCCAACATGCATCGGACAGCCCTCCTCCCCAGCAAAGAATTATCGGGCACAAAAGGCAGTAGTTTCTGTTGAGAAACCCTGGTTTCATCCAAGTTGAGACGCTCAGTCAAAGCCCATTGGTGCCTGGACATCCAGTTTTGCAGCGATGGGTGCTTTGGGAGTTCCAACCTCTTCTCAGTCTAGATAGGATTCCTTTGATTCTGAATCAACTCCGTCACCCCCACCTCCAGGCACCCTCTGCCCTTGACTTTAGGAACCAGTAGATCTTGAACTTTCTTGTCCTGGAAGTCAGACAAATATAATCCAACTTTATCAAAGCCCTTTGCTTCTAACTCATCATGCCTTTTTCTCAATCCTTACACTCAAGGGATGATTTATAATTTACTGATTGTAAAGCCTGTATAATAATCTGACTTGCTGTTGCCTCTGGGGTCAAAAGAACTGGAATTTAGCCCTATTGATGCCACCAACCAGCTGTGTGACCTTGGAAAAATAATTTAATTTCTCTGAACTTCAGTTTCCTCACCTGCATAAAGATGATAAAGTCTTTTCAGGCTCTACCCGTCCACTGCTAGAGAGTTGATTCCAACTCATAGCCACACTACAGGACAGCACAGAATTGCCCCATGTCTTTACAGAAGCAGACTGCCTCATCGTTCTCCCACAGAGCAGCTGTTGGGTTTGAACCACCGACCTTTCAGTTAGCAGCTGAATGCTTTACCCACCGCACCACCAAAAACCAAAACCCATTGCCATCAAGTCAGTTCCTACTCGCAGTGATCCTCGCTGGGTTTCCGAGGGGGTAAATCTTTACAGAAGTAGACTGCCACATCTGCCTTCCATGGAGTGGCTGGTGGGTTTGAACCACCAACCTTCTGGTTAGCAGTCGCCTTAGGCACTGTGCCACCACAGCTCCTCTTTTCGGGTTCCAGAATCCCTAAAATACTTCCTGTCATTTCACAGTTCACATGGCTGTCGCCTGCACTGGGGACTCGCCTCAGCTCTTTCATTGAGCTAAACCCAGTTGCCATGAAGCCATTTCTGACCTAAGTTGGCTTCGCGTGGGTCCGAGTGGAACCATGCTCCGTGGGGCTCTCGGTGGCTGTCATTGCCAGGGCTTACTTCCGAGGCGCCTCTGGGTAAAGTCACACCACCAACCTTTCATCTGGTGGCTGAGTGCTCAGCCATTCGCCCCACCCAGGGTCTCCCTTCGTCTAGCTGAAAACCAAACCCACTTCCACTGAGTTGATGCTGACTCATGGTGACCATAGTTGCCATGGAGACCAGAACAGTGCTCCGTGGGGTCTTCCCGGCCGCGCTCTTTTATGAAAGCAGATGGTCAGGACTTTCTTTTACAGCGTCACTGGGTGGGTTCGAACCATCAGTCCTTAGGTTTTAGATGATCCTTAGGATATTAGGTTTGTACCACCCGGGGGCCCTCCTTCATCTAGTAGGTCTGTGCTAAAGCTTGTTCTGGGGCAAGGAACCTCACCCTCCAGGGTACCTGGCATTCAGGGGGTTGAAGGGCCTGTACTCACCTATGCAGTGAAACCTGAATAATGGATGTAGGGCCGTGTGATGTGAGCATATTTCATGTGGCAAAGTGTGAAGCTTAAGGTTGTCTTTTTAAAAGATTTTTCCCTCTTCTTTCCTAAAATGAAAATCACACCATTAACTTGGAGAAGGGTTTCTGGTTCTCTGTTTGACGGAACAGCTTGGCATGAGAGGGAGGCAGTCTGTTGTTGCAAGTGTGATGAGTTTTGAGGTTTTATTTTTCCGAATAGCTGTTATATTAGCAGGGAAAATTTGTTGCTTAATGCAAATTGGGACTCTCCTCCCCAGGTAGGGGGCTTACCCAGCTTGTGTAGGAAAGGAGAAACGACTTTGCACAGACTCTTTTGGGGGGAATGGAACAGCCAAGGTGATAGGTGGCTATGGAAGGTAAGGCCTTCTGCGAGCCCCCAAATCTTTAGTGTCGTCACCTAAAGCTCACAAAGTACGCGGTGGACATAGATTTTGTTGTATATGGAGACCTGTCACAGAGCTGATGTCACCTCCAGGGTGTCTTGGAGGGAAACAGGTAGAAAGGGAGGACCCCAGAATACACGGCAGAGAGACACCTGCAGGAGGCATTCCAGGGGCAGAATTGTGGGAGGTCTGTGCTGTCACCCCAGATCTGGAAGGGGCTCAGTGACAGTGGCTGCCCTCTGGCTAAAGTGGCAGCTTAGGAAGAGGAAGGACATCAGTTGGTATGTGCAGAGAAGACTGTCCCTGGAGGCCTGCCATAGGAGCCTCCTGGCGTTTGTGACCTCACAGGAGGAGTGTGAGTGAGTGACTCTTCTCTGTGGGGCCTGGTCCAGCCGAGGCCAGAGCCGTCCCCCTAGGGCAGAGGGCAGACGGCCCCTCTGGGAGGGAGCCGGGAGACCAGGCAGCCCCATGTAGGTCCTCATTTAGAGTGACCATGAGGAAGGGCAAGAGGAAGAAGTCAGATGCCAGGCGCCGCAATTCTGCCTCACAGAATCCCAGCTCTGAGTCCAGCCCGCCGCACCCCAGCTCCGACTCTGCTCCCCAGCTCCCCAGCTCAGACTCCACGCCGCCACATCCTGGCTCGGACACCAACTTGCAGCCTCCTAGCTCAGAGTCTAATCCCCAGAATTCTGTGCCCCAAGCTCTTCCAGCTCCTGAGATCAGCACCCCAACCCAGTGCCTTTTGCCTGTGGACAATGGCTCAAAATCTCTCCTTCCATCCGAGAGACCAGGTGGGCCACCTTCCAGCTTGAGAGCAGGTCTAGCTTTCCCACTGATGGCATCCCGGGGCGGCCCAGGGGCTGATTCTCTAGGATAGTGATGCATGGCTAAGAGTATTCCAGAACTGTGATGTGGAGTGTGAGGGTTTTCATTTTTACACAAGCGGTCACAATTTCTGGGCTTTGCCAGTCCTCCCCACCCTCTGTATCTTTGAAGAAGACAGCCACACAGGCATATTAACATTTACCTTGGTTCCATGGCAAGACTAGATCACTAGAAGTCAGCGGTGCCATGTGGCTGCTAACAAAATTTTAAAACCAAGGATGCATTAACAGAAGTATATGTGTTAGAACAAGGGAGGTGGTCATAGTGCTTTACTCTGTTCTCATTAATCTATCCTGTAAGCTGTAAAAGTCCAAAGAAGATAGGCCAGGTTGATGGGGGATAAGGGAGCAAGAGAGCGCCAAGGACCATTTGGTGTCTGGAGGCTACTTGGGGAAGATGTGAGTAGACTTGTTCCCTGCAGTCTCCAGATGCCTAAGGGCCCATGGATAGGACTACCAGATAAAATACAGGACAGCAGTTAAATTTGAATTCCAATAAATGTTAGCTATTCCTAGGTCCCATGTGATATCTAAGAAAGGATTAGTTCTTTATCTGAAATTCAAGTTTAACGGGATGTCCTGTATTTTCATGGGCTACGACTGACAGTCCGACCCTTACTGGACATGACAGGCAGGCAGCTTTCTGCTCAACTTTCCAACAATTGGCTTGGTCTAAAAATGGGATGGCTGGCTGGGAAAAGTAGCTGCCCACTTCCTGAAGAGCCAGGCCGAGTCTGAACAGGTGGTGGCTGGTGTAGCAGGATTTCAGGTGGTATTCGGGAGGCAGACTGGTTCCTGTTACTGCTAATTATGGTAGTAGGAACATTGGCCATTGAGTGTTTATTATGTACTGGGCACTTGGCTGAGCTGCTGATATGACTTTTTTCATTTAAAAATCCTATAAAGGAGGTAGTTACCCTCTCCAAGTAGCCCTGGTAGCATGGTGGTTAAGCACTCAGCTGCTAACTGGAAGGTCAGTGGTTTGAAACCACCAGCAGCTTCATGGGAGAAAGATGTGAGAGTCTGCTTCTGTAAAGATTAA